TAATGTTATCCAGAAACTCTCAGTCTAGTGAGGAAGGAGGATGAGAAACTGTGGTAAGTGATGTGACAGGTGCATGCAGGGCGTGCTATGGGAGCACATGAGGTACTAGGAAAGGAACTAGGACAAAGGGGAAACTCAGTGCTAATGAGCATATCATACACGAGTAAACCCTTTCATTGGAAAACATTAGTATTTTCTTGTGAATTGACAATCCAAGATGAAGCAACTGAAACATAACCATTCTGAAGAGTTGCATTTGAATATTGTTCTTTCAGCCTCCTAATTTCCCTATCTTTTTAACCCACCTCTTCTCATGGTATCTGTATTTTGTTTCCAGAGGAGCCTGTCCCTAGAGAGAAACTCTGAAAAATGCTGTATAGAACTGGTGAATTTTCAAAAGGGGCTTGAAAGGAAAAAGATAATTAAACAGCAAGAAACGAACTCTCAAATGACAGGTAAGCTCTAAGTACAATGAAGCAGGCAGCCAAATTGATTTCACAATGAATTTGCCTCTTTACTATCCATTTTGAATAATAAAATTTATATAAATCCAGACCAGAAAAATTTTAGGATAAAGAAATGTATCTATTTGGGTGCATTGTTTTTATAGTACAGCACTGTTAATTCAGTAAGAAAGGGAGATAAGGTGACTAAACTATGAGACCTTTTGTAATTAACATAGCAAAATTTACTTATTTCAAATGCAAAGTATTTTTATATATAGCTTTGGAAACATCACATTTATTTCAGCATTTCTGAAATTGACTAAAACACTTCTGATATTTTCTTTAGAGTCAGTTGGAGTTTAAACCAAGAAACTGTAACATGGTTTTATACTACTGAGAGGCAGGTGCTATAATCAAAAGAACTGGGAAGACCCAGGTCCGATCTTGGCTCTGCCATTGCTAGCTGCATAACCTTGGAAAAGCTTAGCCTCTCTGTGTCTCAATTTCTTCACCTCTACAATGGGAACAGTAACACCACAATTGTCAGAATTTCCAGGAGTGATGAGATAATGCTGCTATCTAGCACCATGATAGGTATAGGCATATTAGCTGCTCAATATGCCTAGTTCCTAGTCTCCTCACTTACTGTCAAGTTTTGCTTTGACCAAAAATCCTTTTAAACCAGTTATTACTGTTAAATTTTAAGCTTTGCTTACATTGAGGAGTTGTAAAAACTATGCTAGGAATTTAAGTCCTAGGCATTTATTTTCTAGAAATACTCCAACTAATGTCCAAATCAATATGAATAAGGATTTTAATCACAGTTTTGTTCATAAGAGTAAAAAATTATTTTTAAAAACCTAGTGTTCATCAGTAGAAGCCTGCTTAAATAAATTATGGTGCATCTATTTTTTGAGTGACTATACAGTCATCTAAAAGAATGCTATGTCTTTACCAATGCAAAAAGATATCTATATTTAAGATAAGCATTGAGCTATATATGTCTTGGGGAAGTTGTACAATATGGGTCCATTCTGGCCTAAAAAATATGTGTAAACACAAACATGTCTAAGCCCTGAAAGGATATATCATACACTGTTAATTGTTTTTGGGGAGAAGATTGTGAGACTTTCATTTTTAAAGTTGCATATTTGTATAATTATGAATTGTTTACATGGGTATGTATGTGCATTACTTTTGTAATTAAAAAAAAAAGAGAGAGAAAAAGAATAGGAGAAAGACTACCTCCAGATTCTGAAGAAAATGGCAATAAAAGGGTATTATAAAATGTTTTAAGCAATATCTACATTCAGAAGTAGTTGTTCTACACTGGAGTCCAATGCTCATTTGGAGAGTGTATAGATCCTAATATATTATGAAAAAAATCAAGCCTGTGAGTCATGCCTAAAGTTATGACTACTGAACATATTTTAGTTTCATACTATAACTATAATATACAATACAGAAATAACTTGGAGATATTGCGTTGATTTTCAGAACACCACAATAAAGCTAATATTGCAGTAAAGTGAGTTACGTGCATTTTTTTCATTTCCCAGTGAGTCTAAAAGGTATATTTACACTATACTGTAGACTATTAAGCATGCAGCAGCATTATGTGTAAAAAAAGTACATACTTTAATTTAAAAAATACTATACTGTTAAAAAATGCTAATGATCTTCTGAGCCTTCAGCAAGTTGTAATCTTTTTGCTTGTGGAGGATCTTGCCTTGATGTTGATGGCTGCTGACTGATCAGGGGTGGTGGCAATTCCTTAAAATAAGACAAAAATGAAGTCTGTTGCATCGATTGAGTCTTCCTTTCACAAAGATTTCTCTATAGCATGTGATACAGTTTGATAGCATTTTCCCCACAGAACTTCTTTCAAAATTGGAGTCACTCCTCTAAAACCCTGTCATTGCTTTATCAACTAAGTTTACGGAATATTCTAAATCCTTTGTGGTAATTTCAACAAAGTTCACAGCATCTTCACCAGGAATAGATTCCATCCCAAGAAACCACTTCCTTTGCTCATCCATAAGAAGCAACCACTCATTTGTTCAAGTTTTATTATGGGATTGTATAACATCAGGCTCCACTTCTAATTATAGTTCTCTTGTAATTTCCATGACATTTGCAGTGACTTCTTCCACTGAAATATTGAACCCCCCAAAAATCATTCATGAGAGTTGTAATCAACTTCTTTTAAACTCCTGCCAATGTTGATATTTTGACCTCCTCCCATGAATCATGAATGTTAATAGCATCTAGAATGGTGGATCCTTTTCAGAAGGTTTTCAATTGACTTTACCCAGATCCATCAGAGAAATCATTATCTAGGGCAGTAATATGCCTGTCTTTTTTTTTCTTTTTTCAAGGAAGATGCCAGTTTTATTTAAACACAAAATGTGCACATAAGCTATCTACTCATTTTCTTCACTGTGCAGCCTGGCATTGGGGTTGGTGACTCTGATGGCCAGCTGGGCAGCTCTTTCGACAATGGCTTTGTGGTTCTTGGAGGAAACATTGTGAGCGATATCAGCACAGTAAGATTTGTTGCACATCAGCAGCACTTCCAGCTCCTTGACGTTGTGGACCAGGAACTTCCAGAAGCCACTGGGCAGCATGTGCTTTGTTTTCTTGTTGCTCCCATAACCAATGTTAGGCATCAAGATCTGGCCCTTGAACCTTCTACGAACCCTGTTGTCAATACCTCTGGGTTTCCGCCAGTTACGCTTAATTTTGACATATCGGTCTGACTGGTGCCGGATGAACTTCTTGGTTCTCTTTTTGACGATCTTGGGTTTCACAAGGGATCTAAGGGTGGCCATGATGCCGAGGAGGAGATTGCTGCTACCTACCTGTCTTAAATAATAAGACTTGAAAGTCAAAATTACTGCTCAATCCATGGGCGGCAGAATGAATATTGTGTTAGCAGGTATGAAAACACCATACATCTCCTTGTACATCTCCATCAGAGCTCTTGAATGACCAGTTACAATGTCAGTGAGCAGTAGTATTTTAAAGGGAATCATTTTTTTCTGAGCAGTAGGTCTCAAGAGTAGGCTTAAAATATTCAGTAAACCATACTATAAATAGATGTGCTATCACCCAGGCTTTGTTGTTCCATTTATAGAGCATAGGCAGAGTAGACTTAGCATAATTCTTAAGATTCTAGAATTTTCATAATGATAAAGAAGCATTGGCTTTAACTTAAAGTCACCAGATACATTGCCCCTTAACAAGAGTGTCAGCCTGTCCTTTGAAGCTTGGAACCCGGGCATTGACTTATCTCTAGTGATAAAAATTCTAGATGGCATCTTATTCCAATATAAGGCTTTTTTTTGTCTACATGGAAAAATCTGTTGTTTACTGTGGCCACCATCTTCAGTGATGCTAGCTAGATCTTCCGGATAACTTCCTATAGTTTCTCCAAAGCTCTTGCTGCTTCACCTTGTACTTTTATGTTATAGTTATATATCTTTTCTTTCTTTAAACCTCTGTGAACTAACCACTGCTAGCTTCCAACTTTCTTCTGCAGTTCTCTCCACCTTCATAGAATTAAAGGGAATTAGGATTTTGCTCTTGATTAGGATTTGATTTAAGTGAATACTGTTGCTGGTATGATCTTCTATCCAGACTACTAAAACATTTTCCACATCAGCAATAAAGCTGTTTCACTTTCTTATCATTTATGTGTTCACTGGAGTAACACTTTTAATTTCCTTCAAGAACTTTTCCTTTGCATTCACAACTTGGCTGTTTGCTACAAGAGACCTAGCTTTCAGCTTGGCTCAGCTTTCAACATGTTTTTCTCATTAAGCTAAATCATTCCTAGCTTTTGATTTAAAGTGAGAATACTTGAATACTAAGAGGCCATTGTAGGGGTTATTAGTCAGCCTGATTTCAATATTGTTGTGTCTCAGGGAATAGGTATGCCTGAGGGGAGGGAGAAAGTTGGGGAAAGACTGGTCAATGGAGCAGTCAGAATGCCATTTTACATGGGCCATGGTTCATGGTGCCCCAAAACAACTGCAATAGTAACACAGAAGATCACTAATCATGGATCACCATAACAGATATAATAATGAAAAAGTTTGACATATTAACAGAATTACCAAAATGGATGCAGAGCCTGGAAGCGAGCACATGCTACTAGAAAAATGGCACCAGTAGACTTCCTGGAGTCTATAAACTCTATGAAGTTTGCCACAACCTTCAATTTGTAAAAAAGCACAATATCTGTGATGTGCAATAAAGTGAAGCACAATAAAAGGAGGTGTGCCTGATGCGCACATTATACACATACCACTGTTATACCTTCTGTTGAGACACTGCCAGTGTTGTGTGATTTAGAGGTCTTTGGGAAGGCTTCCCTGCTAATACCTCCCTTGTAGGATATCAGAAATTCCATCCTTAAGGAGTTTAATTTCTTCAGATTAAGAGATTACTCAATATTAAAATGCTGCATTGCAGGTCCTTCTTATGTGTTCCTACAGCATGCTGTATACCTCTGAATTTTCATGAATTTTAATTGCTTTCTCTTTTCCCAAGACTCAGCTCATCCCAGAAGGAAGGATGTCCAATGGCTCTGTTCTTCAGCGCATTCGTCAAGGCCAGCCACAGAGAAGGCTCTCAGTATGTGTTTGTTAATTGAATGAATGCTCCTAGGAGACAGAACATAAAGACTAGAATCGTATTTTTACTCAAACTATCGAGAAGTTGAATTAAGGAAATATATGTGAAGGGATTTTGTAAACTATGAACTACTTTACAAATGTATATTACTATCATTGGAATGCAAATTATTTTCTTAAATAATTTCCAAGGGATAGGTTTTGATGGGTAGAGGTATCATATTCTAAGTCTTCTCTACCTGCTAATGATTTTTTTAAATCTCTAACCTGTTCTCCAGCTGCTTGCATGCTAAAAAGTTCAACTTCTTACAGGACAAAGGACTACTGGGAAAAGAAATTAATGAGGAAATATTTCACTTCTGTAAAAACAGGCATGAGTGAATGGGTTAGGATTATATGGGAACAAGGTACAGAAAAATACATAAAGCATGTCCTGAAAGCCTCAAATAGTACTTTTCATCTATTCCAGAGTCTTTGGTCAATGACACTTCTTTATATGAGATGGAGTTCTTTGGCACAGGGCTTTTGTCCTTGTGAAAAACATGACTTCTCTCTCTAGGATGCAAAGAAAATGTTTTAAAACTGGAATTTTTGTCATTAGTTTCCCAGGAAACCATTTTGGTTCTGATGCTAATTTGTGTTTCTGACTGTTTTAATTGAAAATGAGGCCTCTTGCTCTAGTAGAGCAGAAGCAGAAGGAAAGGCTGCTTTGGGTTCCTGCCCATCAAGAGGGTGCCAGGCTGAGAGTGCCAAGTTGTCTCTCAGTTCCACCCTATGCTTGGTGCCAGTTGACACTAGGCTTCTCAATTGAGGTCACCAGAGTGTGGGGCCGGGAGTTGGAGAATCACTTTCTTTTTTCAGTTCTGACTCCAAGAGAGCAGAGTTTGAGCCCAGCAAACACTCACTGCTGTCTGAGTTAGATGGAGCCAGCAGACAGGCCTGAGCAAGACAAATAGTTCGCATCTTGAAATGGTTCTAAGTTTCCTGCTTAAGAAATGTTCTTTATCTCCTCCCTTAGATGGAATGATGTTCCTAGAGGGCGTGGATACACCTCTACCAAGGCATCTACAAATGAACTGTATTTACATTTCTGTGGCTTTTTCTTTTGGTAAGTAGAACCTCAGTGATGATGGCTTTGAAGGGTGCGGCTGTGCACACCAAAGAATGTCGCAGTCTTATTTAATGCCTTTAATGTTCCCTAAAGAGGTAGTTTGTTTGTGCATTTCAGCTCCAACTGCCTGGTTGAGAAGTAGGTTTGTTTGCTGCTGACAGTCCTGCTGACTTTTTGTAGGCCGTGCATAGCTCACACGCAGGACTCTCTCAGTCAGACCTGCTCTTGCATCTACATGCAGCACACAAAAGGAGACCATAGTTAACAAAGTCTTGGTGAAAACCATTCAAGTGTCATGTACCCACCAAATATGAACCCTGGAATACTGCTTACTTTGTAGGCAAAAGCGCTCACATATACCTCAATAGCATCCTCTCTAGTATAGAATCATGCTGTTTAGTGATTCCAGTATGGCACTCAGAAGCCACATGCGGCTATTGAGCATGTGAAATGTGGCCAGTCTGGTTTGAAATGTGTTCAGTATGAAAGCATGCTAGAATTCTAAAGACTTAGTAGGAAAACAAATAATGTAAAATGTATCAGTACTTTTTTGTATGAGTTGCACGTTGAAATGATAATATTCTGGATAGATTGGGTTAAATAAAAACATACAATTAGAATTAATTTCACTTGTTTCTTTTTCTATTTTTAATGTAGCTATGAGAAAATTTAAAAATTACTTGCATGTTTCATATTATACTTCGATTAGACACTACTGACTCAGAGTGAGTATCATAACGCTCATTAATTCCCTCGGCCAATGTTTATTGAGTGACTAACGTGATAGAATAAAGACACAAGCTGTGCTCTCAGAGGGCTGCCATTCTAGGAGAGAGGCAGGTATCTACAGGGCAATAGCCCAGGGGTGAGGGTAGGAACGAATAACATGCTGAATAACAGGGTGAGTGCTATGGAAGCCCCAAGGAAAGGAAGACACTGGTGAAGAACATAATCATGGAAGGCTTCGAGGAGAAGCTGAGTTTTAAAACACACAGGAATTTTGGCAGTCCGAGGAAGTGAAGTCAGCAATGTGTGAAGAGGTGCAGATATGGGGACATGCCTGGCATGTTTCAACAAACACAGGTAGTTCAGCGGGGTGCAGCTTTTAGAACAAACAGGAGAATGAATGGTGGAGATGAAGCCAAGAAGATAGGCTAAGATTTCACCCAGAGACTTTGAACCTGATGAGTTAGGCCTTGGATCAGCATTTTTGATAGGCATACCAGATGCAGACCCCACTTTGAAAAATGTTACTGCAGGTGAGAGGTGTTTAGTTTAGTTCAGCAGTGACATGCCTGCATTTATGAAAGATACTCTGAAAACATAAGGAAGATGTAGGGGGAGTGGTCTCCTGAAGGTGTAGACAGTGTCAGCTATTTCAATCATCAAGGTGAAAAATGATGAAGATCTGCCTTGGTCAGTTGGGGCCACTATAACCAAAATACTATGGCCTGGGTGTCTTAAACAACAGAAACATATGCTTCACAATTCTGAAGACTGGGACATCCAAGATCAAGAGGGTGGCTGATTCTGGGGAGGGCTCTCTACCTAAATTGCAGAGGGACACTTTCTTTATGTGTCCTCACATGGGGCAGTGAAACACACACACGCATGCACGCACGCACGCACGCACACACACACAGGGGCAATATCTAGAGACATTTTGATTATCATGGAGAATGCTACTGAAATTTATTAGGTAGAGGCTGAGAGGCTGATACATGTCCTATAAAGCACAGGACAGATTTCCTCCTCCAAGAAAGAGCTGTCTGGTCCAAAATGTCAATAGCATTGTTGTGGTGAAACCCTGATTTGGTCAAAGGAAGCTGTCTTGCCCAATGTCACACTCCCTCCTAGGGCCAGTCCACATCTAGTGCAGTGGTACAAAAACATGGCCCCCCTTGCCTCAATTTGGGATAACTCAGAAGGGCTGTCCCAGCACCAGCATTTTTTATGGGATTGGCTGATGTCTCTATTGCAACCACATTGCAGTTCAACTTCTCCCTCTGTCCGATCCTGCTTCCCTCACTTTCTTATAAGTATTGTTTCAATAATTTCTCCAAAAAACAGCCTGCAAGCAACTCTCTGAGAGTCTATTTTCTGAAACCTGATCTAAAACAGTTGGCACCAGGAATGGTCCTAAGATGCTGATTGTTAAATAGAATTTTTAAAAATTATTTCAATAGCATTAGGGGTACACATAGTTTTGATTACACGGATAAATTGTATAGTGATGAAGTCTGGGATTTTAGTGCACCCATCATCCAAATACTGTACATTGTACAAAATTAGGGTAGTTTTTCATCCCACGGCCCCCTCACAACCTCCCTCTTTCTGAGTTTCCAATGTCCTTTATATCACTCCATATCTTTGCATACCTGTAACTTAGCTCCCATTTATAAGTGAGAACATGTGGTATTTGGTTTTTGATTCCTGAGTTACTTCACTCATAATAATGGCCTCCAGTTTCATCCAAATTGCTGAAAAAGACATTATTTCATTCTGTTTCATGGCTGAGTAGTATTCCGTAGTACATAGATGATAGACAGAATAGATAGATAGATAGCCACATTTTCTCTATTTATTGGTTGATGGGCACTTAGGTTGTTTCCATATCTTCGCAATTGTAATTGTGCTATGATAAACATATGCACACAGGTGTCTTTTTGATATAGTGACTCACTTTCCTTTGGGTAGATGCCTAGTAGCAGGATTGCTAAATCAAATGGTAGATCTACCTATGCTTCTTTGAGAAATTTCTACAGTGTTTTCCATAGAAGTTGTACTAATTTACATTCTCACCAGTAGTGTATTAGTGTTCCCTTTTTATTGCACCCATGCCAATATCAATTGGTTTTGACTTTTTAAAAATGGCCATTCTGGCTGGGGTAAGGTGGTATCTCATTGTGGTTTTAATTTACATTTCTCCGATGATTAGTGTCATATGTTTGTTAGCCATTTGTATATCTTCTTTTGAAATGTCTATTCATGTCATTAGCCCACTTTTTGATAGGATTATTTTTTTTTTTCTTGCTGATTTGAGTTCTTCGTAGATTCTGGATATCAGTTCTTTGTCGAATGCATAATTTGCAAATATTTTTCCCATTCTATAGGTTGTCTGTTTAGTTCTGCTTCTTTTGCTGTGCAGAAGCTTTTTAGTCTAACTAGGTCTCATTTATTTATTTTAGTTTTTGTTGCATTTGCTTTTGAAGTCTTGGTCATAAATTATTCGCCTAGGCCAATGTCCAGAAGAGATTTTCCTAAGTTTTCTCCTATAATTTTTATGGTTTCAGGACTTATATGTAAGTCTTTAATACATCTTCAGTTAATTTTTGTATATGGTGAGAGATAAGAATCTAGTTTCATTCTACGTGTGACTATCCAATTTTCCCAGCACCATTTATTGAATAGGGTGCCCTTTCCCCAATTTATGTTTTTGTATGCTTTGTCAAAGATCAGTTAGTTGTAAGTATTTGTCTTCATATATGGATTCTCTATTGGGTTCCATTGGCCTATGTATCTACTTTTATACCAATACCATGTTTTGTTTACTGTAGCCTTGCAGTATAATTTGAAGTCAGGTAGCTGATACTCCAGATTCTTTTTTCGTTTTCTTTTTCTTTCTTTCTTTCTTTCTTTCTTTTTTTTTTTTTTTTTGTTTAGGATTGCTCTGGCTATTCCTTTGGTTGCCTATGAATTTTAGGGTGTTTCTTTCTAATTCTGTGAAAAATGATGTTGGTATTTGATAGGAATTGCATTGAGTCTGGAGATTGCTTTGGGCAGTATGGTCATTTTCACAATATTGATTCTTTCAGCTCATGAGTATGGTATGTATTTCCCTTTGCTTCTGTCATCTATGATTTTTTTTAACAGTGTTTTGTAGCTCTCCTTGTAGAGATCTTTCACTTCCTTGGTTAAGTATATTCCTAGGTATTTTATTTTATGTAGCTGTTTTAGAAGGGATTGAGTTCTTCATTTGATTCTCAACTTGGTCATTATTTGTGTATAACAGTGTTACTCACTTATGTACATTGACTTTGTAACCTGAGACTTTACTGAATTCACGTATCAGATCTAGAAGTCTTTTGGGGGAGTCTTTAGGGTTTTCTAGGTATAAGATCATATTGTCCGCAAACAGAGATAGTTTTACTTCCTATTTTTCAGCTTGGATGCTCTTTCTTTCTTTATCTTGCCTGATTGCTCCAACTAAGACTTCCTGTAGACTAGAATTTTGAGGCTTCAAATTGGCTGCCTGATCCACTGTCCAATTGGTAATCAGGACACCATAACTGGTGGTAAGTGAGGTACAGGTAGGCCCTGGCATGCTGTATCCACGCAACTGTTAGAACTTTTATAAGTAGTAAATTAGATAAGATGTCAGTGGAAGGGAATGTACTGACTGGTACAAAATCTTAGGTGTTTGAGAGGTACAGGAGAAGTACTATTTATAAGGACTGTGGAAACTAGTTGACTGGTGATGAGTATTATCAATATACCCAAGACAGACAATGAAAAACAGAGGGATAATTAATCACCAACTGAAGGCAAAGTGTGAAAGGCAGAGGGTCTCCTTGGCCATATATAGTTTCTCATTTCCTACAGTTGGAGGGCAGACATTGCTGGGGACCAGGACCAGGACTTAGTTTTAAGGGTGGAAAAGGTCCCTGAGAAGGTTAACTTCTCAACCCCAGCAAGTCTCCTACATCAAGATTGATTGAAGAGTGGGATCTTGGAACTTGAAATAGGGACACATGGGCCATTGCTCTCAAGAACATTAAAAACAGATCAGCCTGAACCATGTAGGCCTGCAGGAGACCACTCCTCCCCACTAATGGCCAGTGTACCCTCACCCCTCGCTGTAGATGACGCAGGCCCTCTGCTTGCCAGATCATACAAACCCTGCTCAGGGTCTACCCTCACCTTCCTTCCTGGCCACCAGACCAATAGCTAGGATCAAGTCACAACATAACCCAACCGAGGAAGTGCTGGGCTGATAAGAAAGGAAAGCCTATATGCTAAGGATCTTTGCAAGCTAGACAAAATGTACATGCAGAAGCCAGGACAGTATTATAGGATTGGATCCTAAAGATTCTGGATAAAGAAGGGTGGAATGTAAAGTTATATAAAGGAGAATGTATCAGTATGGAAACACTCACCTGGGACAAAGTATTTAATTTCTGACAAAGACCTCAGGAGACAGTGCTAGTGTGCTGTGGGAATCTGAGAAAAATCAATTGCCCACATTAAATGAGAAGTCCATGATAGTTGGTGGAGGATAGATTCAAAAAGCACAGAGAAAGGGGCATGTCATGGAAGACATACTCCAAAGGTCCAGAAATAAGTACCAATAGACAATGTGTTATGGGATGGCCTGGAGGGTGCTTTGTTTGCCACAGTGATTAGGTACATGCTGGTGAGAAGGAAGGAAGGCCAGCATTGCTGAGACTCTCAGGGATGGCTGTCTTCTGTAGGCCATGGCTCACGGTAGGAAATTTATTACAAAACTGGTAATGGTAGAATGGGACTGATAATATCCTGAAAGTACAGAGGCTAGGTGATAGCACTTAGCTGTCAAAAGCAAGGTGAACACAGTTCTTATAACAAACAGTTATGTTAGAGTAGCAACCAGGATGGTCAGAGAGTTAAGGAGATGGTTAACAGAGCATGGTGCTCCCAGAGGCCCAATAGATGAGCAGCTGACAAATATATTACTTATGCACTCGGAAGAAATCAAGGATGAATGATCAAGAAGCTCAGGGTAACCACCCCAGTAAAAAACCATGATCCCCTGTCTAGTTTCTGGACCTGAGCCAGTTCTCAGACTTTGAGTCCATTTGTTCAATGAGGGGCTATGACCCTGCAGCATTACAGCTGGTGTATACAGTCATGTCTCCCCTAGTCCTTCCCCAAAGGGACTTACCTGCAGAGCAGATATGGGGAATACCCAGACATTCCGATGACAGTTAGACATGGGGTTTGAGTTGACACTGATCCCCTTTTGTTAGTGGGAAATGTATTGGGACTAGATAAGAAATGAGGTCCTGACTAGCTCACCCTGGGACCACTGAGACTGACCTAGCTAGTGGTCATTTTGTCAGTCTTTTTTTTTTTTTTGTATGTTTTGTTTTGGAAACAGGGTCTTGCTCTGTCACCCAGGCTGGAGTGCCGTGGTGCAATCTCAGCTCACTGCAACCTCTGCCTCCCTGGCTCAAGTGATTCTCATGCCTCAGCCTCCCGGGCAGCCGGGACTACAGGCACACGCCACCACACCTGGCTAATTTTTTGTATTTTTAGTAGAAACGGGGTTCAACATGTTGGCCAGACTGTTGTCAAGCTCCTGACCTCAAGTGATCTGCCTACCTTGGCCTCCCAAAGTGCTGGGATTACAGGTACAAGCCACTGTACCTAGCCTGCAAGTCTTTGAATGCTTATTTGTAATGAACATATTTGGTAGTTAGAACTCTAATTTTGGTTCATTCTTTTGTGGAGTAAGACTTATTATAGTTGGGAAGGCCAAGTAGAAGCCTTTGAATCTGTTTCCACACCTGCCAAGCTATTAATCAACAGTATTATCATATCCTGAAGAGAATGACATAAAGGATGCAGGGACAGTGGTGTCTTTTTACATTCCCCTGCCCAGTTTTGACGGCAAAAGGACACATGCAGCAGTGATGGCCTGAGAAGTGCATGGTGACCAGAGCTCATACCGCTTAGGGTTGAGAGTCTAGATTACCCCATCAACTAAGCTCCATAGACCAGCAGAGGTGCTAGCCAAGGGTGCAAGGAATCTAAAATGGGTAATAGAGGAGGAAGACAGTGAGTATCAGATATGATCCTTGAGACCAGCTGCTACAGCAGCAGGAACTTCCATTCTTTCCTACTTATTTTACTTCTGTAATTGTACCCAAGAAGCAACACCAACCAGAACCCTGGATTAGCTGTTTCCACATAAAGTAAATTTACTGTAAGAAGCAAGTGGATCCGAGAAACACATAGGTTAGACTATTATGGATGCTATAGTGCAAGGATCCCCAGTCCCTGGGCCACGGACTGGTATTATTCAGTGTTCTGTTAAGAGCCAGGCCACACACCAGGAGGTGAGCAGCAGGTAAGAAAGTGAAGCTTCATCTGTTTTTATAGCAGGCCCCCCATTGCTCACATTACTGCCTGAGGTCTGTCTCCTGTCAGATCAGCAGAGGCATTAGATTCTCATAGGAGTGTGAACCCTATTGTGAATTTTGCATGAGAAGGATCTAAGTTGTGCGTTCCTTATAAGAATCTAATGCCTGATGATCTGTCACTGTCTCCCATCACCTCCTCTTGAGGTGATGGGGAGGTTTTCCTGTAGTTGCAGGAAAACAAGTTCAGGGCTCCCACTGATTCTACATTATAATGAGTTGTATAATTATTT